TATCTCTTCATAGTTTTTATAATGTATTTTTTTAGAAAAAGCGAATTGTTATGGGATGGGGTTGTGGCTCAGTGGTAGAGTGGTCTCCTAGCATGTGTGAGGCTTTGGTTTCAATTCTCAGCACTACATAAAAATTAATTAATAAAAAATAGGTATTGTGTCCAACTACAACAAAAAATAAAATATTAAAAAATAAAAAGCAAATTGTCAGACAAACAACCATAAAGGAGCATTTCTCTTGCATTCATTTTCTATCTTCTAACCAGTGAATTAGAGAGAGGAGACCATAATCTGTGTCAAAAAATGGCAATTAGTGAAAGACCTATTCTCCCTATGCTCTTAGAGTGTTAAAGACGGGAAGTATCTTTTTAATTTCTTTGTTTGGATTATCTTCTTTCATATTAGACAAAACAAGTAATAAATATCCTGGAAGGAAGCAATTCTGTCCCGTATTCCCCTATTTCTCTCTTTCATCCCAAGGTTTGATAGCAAGGTCAGGAAAGTTTTCCCCTTCATCAATGTTCATCTCTTGGGATTTCATTATAGTTTTCACTTAATTTTTTTATAGTAGGTATAAGCCATATAGTTATTGTCATTTGTGAAGATATCTCCTCCTTATGTTACTCTAAATCTTTAAAACTTCTTCTTAAATTAATTCCTCAGATGAATAGTAATGGTTCAAAATTTTCTCACAGGCCAAATTTCTTTGCTTTAGTAATCACAAAATAACAATCATTATTAATATTTTTCTATTTAATTTATAATATTTAGGATAAAAGGTAGACAGTGAACAGGAATTTTAATAATTACTAAGCATCTCCTATTGCTAGTATTTTATAGACTTTATTTCATTTACTTTTTTATGGCTTATGTAAACTGTTTCTTCATTGATGAAGAAACTGAAACTTAGAGAGGATAAGTAAGTTTTCCAAGACTGCATGACTGGTGAATGTCAGATCCAGAATTTGAACTTGAATTTTTCTGACTTCCTGCTTTCCCAGTATAGAGTGCCGATTTGTACAGGACTTTAATTATGGTGAACCTACTAGCCATATGTAGCAGTTAAGTTAATTAAGATGAAATTAAATTAGAAAATAAGTTCCTCAGTTGCAGCAGTCACCTGAAAATGCTTCATCTCTATCCACATGTGGGTAGAACTACCATGCTGGTCAGGGCAGATGCAGAACATTTCCATTTTCATGGAAAGTTCTACTGGATAGAGCTGTTCTACTAGAGTTTTGAGTTAATTCTAATTTGAATACCTATATTTAGAAACAAATCTTTTTAGAAACCTGTATGCCCCTTGAAATTGAGACTTCTGCATCCTCAGGACAGAAGGTATGGCAGTGTCATGCAGTGTTCTGTGGTCTCTGACAAAAGTGTCTTATTGAATTACCTTTTCTCTTTGTATTTTTCCAAGGAAGCTTCAGATCTTGGGGTAGGAGGTTGGGAGGATGAGTGAAAAGAAAGGGGACTTTTCTAGACACTTATTGGAAACATGTGTCTGAATTTCCTTTCTCAAGATCCTCTTCAAAATTCATTGCCTCCTTTTGTCTGAATTTCACCATATTATCTGATATAACATCTTTATTTTTCATTCCATGTAAAATCCCTCAGTGTGCTTCTTTTTTTCATATTATTTAGTATTTTCTTTCCTGTACCATTTCTCCAGCTCTATGCTATCTTTTGTTGAAATATAATGTTTCCACTTTCTTAAGATGCAGTACCAAGGACATCATCAGTTAACAGATCTCAAACATTTCTATCTACATTCTGGCTGATGGTTTCTTTTATTTAGTCTAATGTTAGTAACTAAAACATGTCTTGACCTCAAATAATTGTTTTTGGTTGACTATTCGCTAAACTTCTAAGGAGGTTTTCTAAGGAAATTAAATAGATCTTTGGAAAAATGTATTAAAGTATTTTTATTTTATTCATAAATATAATTATTAGTGATTTTGAAATGCAAACCCCTTTTTAAGAACTGAGAAATATACTTTGCTAACAGTGATAAAAATATGACAATGATTTTAAAGTCAGAATTCTTACAGGTCTGTTTGTGCTTTGTGCTTTTATTCCAAAGTAAGCTGTCACTTTGGATGACAGTAAATAGACATTTGATATATTCAACTGATCTCTCACTTCATAACTAGATGTCAGTGTTAATATACCTGATTAATTATGTTAGTGTGATCATAATGGGGTGATCTAAATATTTACTCAACCTACACAAGATATAGATCAGAAAATAAATGATAAAAAAGGAAAATAATTTTTAAAGACTACTTATTTCAAAGTGGAATGATTAATTCTGCATTTATATTTTAACATTTCTCCCACATGAACAATTAAAATTTTTCATCTAGTTGATTAGCAAAGCCAGGTAGAGTATGAATTTGTATCTGTTTACTCTGCCAACCAGAAGTTCTTCCCTGCAGCTTTCCCAGAAATGGTAATCA